GACGCGAAACTATTTCACATGAATGAGAAAATATCCTATGAACATGTGATAAATTACGCACATGTCAACTACATGTGTTGGCAACAAAAAGAAAATTTTACTGAAATTTCGAGAAAATTCTTCTTGCAAAAACATCAGCGTTCAAACCTATGCCCTCAGTTACTACCTGTACGGCGCTTTGGCTCGCCTCAGCAGTTGCCTTCTCCTGCCGATCCAACGCTACTATTACTCCCACCAATTTGCATTCAGGAAATTGCCCCAGCAACTGTACGCTCTCACTAATGGCAGTCCCCGCAGTAATAACATCGTCGATCAACTGAAAACAACAGTGGAGTTTCACCTGTGAGATGTATTTCACAATTCACTTCTCGAAAAACAATTATATTATCGGTGTTCGCGGTAATATATACGTCATGGAGTATTACGCCACTTCGCGTAAAACGGGTGAAACTCCAATGTAGAGCAATTATGAATATGAAGAGAGAATACGAAATTTATAATACAAGTTATATACTTGGTAGAAAACAAGTGTTTTGTCGGTGTTCGCGGAAACATATACGTCTTATAATTTACATGGAGTATTACACCACTTCACGTTAAACGGGTGAAACTCCAGCGAATATTCGTTTCCCGATGATTCATAAAAATGCTCAAAACAGAAATTCACTAAAATTTCCAATTTCAAATAATATATAACGTCCCCCGAAACTGCGCTGCGGTCTAGAAGTAAAAATAACGAAAAAAATTTTTTCTCAATTTTCAGCCCACGACATGAATTCACGGGTAGTCGAGTATTGGGAATTCACTGCTCGAACACTTGAGCTGAAATTCATCAAAACGGAATAAAAAGTTTCAGCCCAGATGGCGCGTGTTGTACGTATGCAACGGAGTTACACCCTAGTGATATGAAAAACACTAGCGAAAAACATATTTCACGACTACTGCATATAGAGGCGCGAATACCGCGTTTTTCACCGAGTTCACGTAAAACGGGTGAAACTCCCATAAACAAGA